GTCTGTTATGAATTGAAATTTGGGTATTGTTGTATGTTGAGTAGAAGTTGGCAAGTTGCTGAAATTTTGGTATTGTTGAATTGAAATTGCTGAAATTTGGGAATTGTTGAAATTTTGGTATTGTTGAATTGAAATTGTTGAAATTTGAGTATTGTTGAAAACTGAAATCTTATGAAGAGATTCTTTTAAAGAAAAACTGACTTGTACAATGTAAATGTTGATGGGGGATCCCGAGGATGTCAAATAATGTAGAATTTGATGTCACTAAACTTTCAACTGATCCTGGTCTAAGGATACCCATTTTGGATTACAATGCTAACATCCGAGATCAAGTTCGAAAATCATATATGTTAAAGGGTCCTGGTCAACCACAAGATCATGACTTTTCAAAATGACAATTTGGAGTAAAAGTTAGACGATTCAATCCTTCTTGGTTTAAAGAATTTGGTTCTTGGTTGGAGTACAGTGTAGAAAAAAATGATGCTTATTGTTTGTATTGTTATCTTTTCAAATCAAGTTCTGGATAGCAAGGTGGAGGTGAGTGTTTTGTTGGTGAATGTTTTACATATTGGAAAAAGAAGAAAAAGCTTCATATTCACGTTGGAGAACATGATAGTGCACATAATCAAACTCGCATTAAGTGCGAACCTTTGATGAATTAAGACCAACACATTCAATCAATTTTGTATAAGTAGTCAGAACAAGGACGAAGTGCATATGTTACCCGTCTTAATGCATCTATTGATTGTGTTTGGCTTCTATTGCGACAAGGGCACTCATTTCAGGGACATGATGAGTCCAATGATTTTCTCAATCCAGGCAATTTCTTAGCTCTATTAGAATTTTTGGCAGCTCATAATGAAGATATTAATGCTGTGACATTTGGAAATGCTCCTCAAAATTGCAAATTGACATCACCGATGTTCAAAAGGATAGTAAATGCTTGTGCCATTGGGACAATCAATGCTATTATCAAAGATATTAGCAATTCATTTTTTCTATTCTAGTTGATGAATCTCGATGTGTCAATGAAGGAGCAAATGTCAAATGTAATATGTTATTTGGATAATAGTGGACATGTGAATGAATGCTTCATAGGGATTGAACATGTTACAAGTACCACGACTCTATCACTGAAGGCTACAAATGATATGGTATTTTCTAGATATAATTCGAGCATGTTTAGATTGAGAGAATAAGGTTATGATGGAGCAAGTAATATGCAAGGTAAATTTAATGGTCTAAAAGCACTCATTTTAAAGGAGAATCCACGTGCCTTTTACATTTACTGTTTTGCTTATCAACTCCAACTAGCTCTTGTAGCTGTTGCGAAGAAGAATATTCCTATTACTAGCTTCTTTCACATAGTCGGTAATATAGTAAATACTGTTGGAGCATCTTCTAAACGTTGTGATCTTCTTCGAGAGAAGTAATCAGACTTTATTGTTGAGACATTAGAGAATGGTGAAATTTTAAGTGGATGGAGACTTAATCAAGAACCAACCCTTCAACATTCTAGTGATATGCGATGGGGTTCACATTATAATTCATTGGTCAGCTTACTTGTCATATTCTCTTCTGTTATTGATGTACTTGCAATGATTGTTGAAGATGACTCTTGTTCTTGTGACCAAAGATCCGACGCAACAAGTTTATTGGAGTCGATACAGACATTTGATTTTGCATTTAATTTATAGTTGATGAGAAGTGTCTTGGGGATTTCAAATGAACTGTCAAAAGCATTACAACGAAAAGATCAAGATATTGTGAATGCAATGCAATTGGTGAAGTTATGCAAACAACGAGTACAAATAATTAGAGATGAATGCTGTGACTCCTTCTGGGAAGAAGTATGTTTTTTTTTTCTGTCAACAACATTATATTGATGTACTCGGCAATGATGATATGGTTGTACGTCGTGCACTTCGTGGTCGCCCACAACGTAATCCTCCAGAACTTACAAATTTACATCATTATCAAGTTGATTTGTTCTACTCTGTCATCGATTTTCAACTTCAAGAATTGAATGATTGTTTCTCTGAGGTAATTACAGAGTTACTCATGTGTGTAGCTTGTTTATGTCCATAAGATTCATTTTCTTCTTTTGACAAGAAAAGTTTGATTCAAGTTACTGAGCTTTTTCCATTAGATTTCTCTGTATTAGATCTTATTATACTTTATGATCAATTTGGGACTTATATTTTTGACATGCGCTCTAACAAAGAGTTTGAAGGATTGAACGACCTTGGTGATCTTGCAAAAAAGTTAGTTCTGACAAAGAAAAATATGGTATATCCATTGGTTTACAAGCTTTTGACTTTAGCATTGATTATGTTGATTGCTACCACTACTGTGAATAGAGTATTTTCTGCAACGAGCATTGTAAATGATAGATTGTGTAATCGGATGGGTGATCAGTGGATGAATGATAGCACAATTGTTTATATAGAGAAAGATATATTTTTGAAGCTCGATAATGAAGTTATTGTACAACGGTATCAAAATATGAAAACTCGAAAGGAACAAGTGTAATATGAAAACTCGAAAGGAATAAGTGTAATTTATAAACTATGTCATTTTAGTATTGTCTAATATTATTTTATATTTTTATTATCATTACATCCATGACAAAAAATCGATGTTCAACATCGATAAATTGTGCCCACCTTGATAAAAAATCCTAGCTCCGTCCCTGATTACAATACATCCTCATAACATCATTCAAATATCTAGAATATATCCAAATATTGAGATTAAACATTTGATTCTTGTAATCAATCAACCACCTTGAGAAAAATATCAAAATCAAATAATTCAAAACACCCACTTCCTAGATATAACATGAATGTACTTTCTCAATAGCTTTTAGAGGTTGCTGAAAATTGAGGGAGGTTGGACCAAAAGTACAAGAAGAGTACAAGAACAAGGTATTCTTGGTGATTCATAGGAGAGAGACAATTCCAAAAGATCAGGAGCATGTGTGAGTGAAACACGTTCCAGCGGGTCTTTGAGATTGCAAGAATTAGATCAACGAGTCTAATGGATTTTCTAGGCTAGATCATAATGTAAATTTTTTATTGTCTATAGTGGAAGCTATTAGCTTGGTTCTAGAATTTTTACCCAATTAAGGGTTTTTCCTGTCAACAAATCTTGTGTTATTTATTGTTTTATTTATCATTGTGGCAATTCAATATCGGATAAAATTGATTTCAATGAGTAAACATCTAGAACAATTAAAATGTGATAGATTGAGTTCTTTTTTCAACATTTGCATAATTTTCATAAATAGGTGCTAGAGAGATTTGAATCAAAGACTTCTTTGCATGTTACTGTATCATATTTGATCTTCAAGAACATCGTCAACGCTCATGTTAATTGTTCATTGCAATAATCTGACTTCCATTTGGTTTCTTCAACGTTTGCATCCCTATCCAATGTCTGAAAGAAATGATTCAGTTATCATAATGTTGCAGAAAAATGAAACCCCTAATGGCTTTGTATGTCTTAATATAGCTTTAGTGATTTTACTAGCTTAATATCTTGTGATAAGTTATTATATCTAAAGTTTGTAATGTAAACTGGAAAAAATACTCTTGAAGAATGTTCAGCTATAAAGTATTATCCTATAATAAAAAAATTTGTTGTTCAATATGCCCATGTCCTCCTTGCAATGGGTGTAAAATACCCCATATCCCCTTCTTGCCCCGATCAAGAAATAAACTTGACTAATCATAAGTTGAATGGGTTAAGAAACTTAGTGTCATTATTCTTGAACAATTTGGAGTCGAGCCTTATTTTCACACTATTACGGACTTAAAAATAATAGCTAAACTTGGATTTAACTCTCATCTATAAGCTTCTCAAAAGAATCTTTGCTTGGATACTCAAGCTCATGTGAACGACTGATCAATAGGTTATTTGTTTTAGGACTATGCTACTTGTACGGATAAACTATACATGTAGCTTAACAGATGCATTCAAACTGGCCGACAAATGCATGCCACCTGTGCATCTGTAACGCTATATAAATATAGCTTTATTCTTTGTTTTATTTGAATAGTTGTTGTTTATGACAAACATAACCAAATATCACATGAAGCATGGTGAATGGTGACATATTTGTTTCATTACAATAGATGGTAGCATGTTCATGGTATGGCTAGGAGATGAGAAAGTCACTCTGAGGAAGCTGGTAACTCAATGTTGTCCTCTCCCTTTAGGAAAAAATTAATTGGGTAATGAACTTTGAGCCGTGTTATGTGTACAGGAAAACACTGTCAGGGAACTGCCAAGGGACACTTGGCATTTTTACATTGGAAGATGGCAAAGAAAAAATAATTATTCTTGCGTACAAGGGGATAACTCATAAACTTTAATTTATTTCAGTAAATTGTGACAATTGAATTGTCGCATCATAGATAAAAAGTAAAACACGATGCTCCATCTTTCTTGTCGCCACAAGTCCCTTCTTTTGAGAGTTAGCTTCATGCTCATCCTTCTTGTATTTGAAAAGGGTACTTGCTGGGAACCATGATATTCCTTCTTATAAAATGAAAGAATTTCCTCTACCTTAATCAAATTGATGGACTTGGATTGAGTGATCCAATTATGACAAATATTAAGTTTATTGGCCTAATTGGAAATGGAAAAAAAGGTTCAATTCATTGACTCATTAGAAATTTTGTTTTACAATTTATTGACCTCATCTTTGATTTTATATTCTAGAATTGACTAAATTTACATACATCAAAATTTTCAAAACTTGAAATGTAGCCAAGGAAATGAAATGAACACTGCAATCATCAAGAAAATGGGAACTACTTTGGTTTTCATATTATAGAGTTCAACAGCACATAAACAAGTACACAAGCAAACCCATAAACAAAACACTCAAATATAACCACAACAGATTGCAACAAACATGAACATCGATGCAAGTCAGTGAAACACTGAATTTTTTATTCTCAGAAGCACACAAGTTAAACACATACTGACGCAACTCAATTTAGATAAGGAAAGAGTTGAAGAACTTTCTTCCAAGATGGCCTATTGCTGATAACATCCCACCATGCACTCACATGTTTTCTATCCCTTATCATGTACTCTTTCCCAACGCCATTCAGCAAGTAATGACCAAGTTGGAGGTGGCTAAGATCAGCCAGACTGAAGAAATCTCCAGCCAGGTATTTGTTCGTCGACAACCTTTCTTCATAGATATCCAGAACTTTTTCCAGTTTCACCTCGTTCTCTTGAATGACTTTTTGATCTGGTGTGATTCCTAGTTTGGAGCTGAAAATTGTATGAATCACTAAAGTGTTAAGTGGAGGGTTAAAATTGTGTGCTTCCACTTCTAACCATTGTTCTACTTTGCCTTTCTCCTCCATTGTTTTTCCAAACAACTCAGTTCCTTGAGACTTGTACTTTTCTGCATAGTACCTGATTATTGCCCTGGATTCTGCACAAATATGTAATATGTTCTAGATTTTAACTTACTTTTCTGCTTTAATTCTGTCATGTCCAGTGGATAATATCAAACAAAAGTAGTATTAGACTTTTACCGAATAAAGTGTAGTCTCCATCTTGGATGGCAGGAAGAAGCCCAAAAGGCTACAAGAGTTTGCAAGATGATAAGAGTAAATCCTATCAATTTTTACAGGGAAGAGAGTGAAAAAAATATTACTAGAAGAATACCTGCAACTTGAGATAATCTAGGCTTTTGTTTTCGTTCTTAAAGGCATCGATATCAACAACCTCAAATTCAATCTCTTTCTCAATAAGGGTAACAATTACACGCTTACATGAAGCATATTCGGGTCCATACACTTTAACCACCATTGCTGTTAGCTCTTGCCTTTCTTTTGATTCAACTTGAGAATATGCCTACTGGGATTATATACAACTCTGCTCCACCAAACCCTGATGTACTTTTCAACAGAATTCAATGCAGGGAACTTATTACCACCAAATTATTCAGTTTCTTTTGGTTAACAGACAACGTTAGTTACATTGAAAATGGATTATATATAGCTATTCTCCACCAAACCCTGATGTACTTTTCAACAAAATTTAATGCAAGGAACTTATTACCACCAAATTTTTCAGTTTCTTCTAGCTAACAGACAACGTTAGTTACATTGAAAATGGGTTCTGATATTTGTAGGTGAGACTGAATTTAAGACATATTTCAAATTTATATGCAATGTGTTGAAATTAAGTAACTAGATGTAGAGTAATAAGCAAAGAATTGGGATGTAATCCACAGTGAAGGAAGGGATAACATCAAATAGACTTTTCATTAATTTCATTAAATTTGAAAAGTATAAAAAATTTGTTACTGGTGCTAATGGTGTTAAAAAATGTCACTTTTAGTGACACCTTTTTAAGAGCATTTAATGCTAATTAATACTTGACTTGAATGTCATTAATGCTATGCTGTGACGAATTAGTTTTTGTACTATATATGTGTGTGTGTGTTATATTGGGTAATATGAATTTTGTTAATAAAAAAAAAAAGCCTAATCAACAGTGAGCATAAACAATTTCTTCCAACATTAACAAATCCTAACTTTCTAATCATTTTCTCCATTCTTTCATCAAGAAGACATTATTATTGGATTCATCATCCATTTTGAGAGATTAACATATTACAAATTATTTATATTTATATTTTATAACTTATTACTTCTGAAATGTTAAATACAATATGGTCATATTTATTCGGAATTTTTGAAATTATTATTTATTGATTTGTTTGTTTTTTCAAATATTTTAGAATAAAGATACCGATATCTTCTACAATATGTTGTGTAAGATTCCATATGTAATGAAGTATTGAGTTATTCATTGGGAAGATGTTATTATATCGTAATTGTAAATTGATTATCACCATTAATGTTTTGAATAATTTCTTCCGATCAAACCCAATAAATATTTTGAAGGATTGTCTCTTTAATGATTTACTGTGCAAATTATTTAGGAAGAAAAGTTTGTCATTCGGTGGTACAATATTGATGAACACACTTAAGTAATGAAGAATTTGTTCCAAACACCCACATATATGCTTCCCGTTGACATTTAGAAACTATTGGATTAGACATTTCAACCGTGGAACAACAGATCTCTTTGCTGTTTATATGACATCTATAAATTGCCTTCAACTTCAGAAGAAAAATGGGACAAATAACAACTGAAGCTTTAAACTACTTCAAGTTCTGAAGCAGTAACCAAAAGCCAAAACATCATATATTATTACTGAAATTCAACAATTGGACTCAAATTACAATGTTAATGGGATGCTCTTCATCTTCTAACATCAGGTATTTATACCCCTCTTCTATTACCATCAAACCATCTTCAGTGGCTGTGCCAAGGTTTTCACAGGGGCTTATAATAAATTCTAGTTTCGTTCTTTCTCCTGAATTTAAGCTCACACTCTGAAATCCAACCAATTGGTTCAAGGGATTTCGTTCGCTAGGCATGATAGGCCTTGCAAATAGGAGAACTCTGTGTCTTCCGGAAACTTCCCCTGAGTTCTCGATTCTGACTAGACCTGAGAACTTGGCTTTCTCACAGATGTCTTCTCCCATATCAGAAACTGATAAGAGTACAGAGCGTGTTTGAGCTTTCAGTAGTTGTCGTAGAATTTAACAATTGATTTAAATAGATAGTGTTTGGAGTAGAAGATACAAACTTGTATGTACAGGCTGAGTAGCTAAGACCATAGCCGAACTCGAACACTTTTTCTCCGTTGTAGAAGGCGATATGTGCGATCTGGATATCCTGAGGATGTTTCGGGCCGTATTCTCATGTCAGTCATTGGTACTCGGATGAAAATTTTCAAAGACCAAGTGACGGGTAATTTTCCTCCTGCATGGCAAAGGTTACGTGTACGTGAAATTTAAATGCCTACTTTATACAAATTAATCTCAATTAAGAATCTATTTCTGTTCTAAAAGACAGTAAAGTTTGTACATATAAACATGAAGATGTTAAAGATAGATGGTGTTTATGTCATATTATTCGGGTTTAAAATAGTTGGAACTTATTTTCTATTATTATAATATTCTCGTACTCATAAATTGTTGATAAATAGAAACTCTGATTTTATATTATCAAGAGCAATAAAAACACAATAACAGAAAAAGATTAAAAAAAAAACACGAAAGATTTATAAAAGTTCGTCTCAAAAGACAAGTAGATAACTATGCTAGAAAAAAAAATACTACTATAGTGACTAAGTTGAAATAAAATAAACTGATAAAGATCAATGATCAAAATGAAATCTCGTCGAAAGTTGAGTAACCAATAGTGTTTCTTAAATTTTTCCCTCTATATTTCACGTAAAGTATGTCTAAATTTTGCATTCAAACTTTACAATTAATGTTGATTCACTAGCAGTTTGATAACCTTCTCCCAAATTACTGTTTACCACGAAGTAAAAAATTTTCGATCAAATTTGTTTAACCTTGAAAATGGTTTTTCATATTTAATTTTCAGTATTTAGTAAATGTAAAAGTAATATTTTCCTATGAAAATATTTCGAGGAATCTAAGGTCACCCAAAAAAAAAAAAATTGCAATAATTTCTATATACTTATCGGTAAACTACTCGGGGCTCCGGTTTAATGGTTTAGTAAAAGGGTGGGGATGGCCATAAACAGTTACTCCTGGAGTGGCCGAATAAGGTAAAAATAAATCCCTGATAAATTTACATAGCTTAAATATTATGTCTTTGTGCCCATGAAACGAACTGAAAAGATGCATCAAATGTGCATGCCTGACATCTCCTACTGTGAACTCGTACAAACATGTCTAGTAAAATGGAGGCAGTAAGACAATACCGGTCGTCAAGGTCAAAAAACCCCGTCCCATTTTCTCCGACAATCAAAAAGGGTTTCTTAAATGCCGTTAAGCGCAAATGCTGTTTCCTAGAGCACGGATATAATTCTTTTGTCAGAAACTACTCTTTCGGACATTCTTCCTGCTGCCAGTCTGTTCTTGTTGACAACAGTTTTAACCTCAGAATTTTTTGGTGCAGTATGCTGCATTATTCGGACAGGAATTCCTCCCTGTTAGGAATTAACATAGCATAATATAGGCTCTAAAACGTGGCTGGCAGATTTCACCAGATCAAACCAAGCAATGACAGAGATCAATATCCAATCACACAACCTCAATGTTCAATATGCAATCTAAATATCCAACCAAGTATAGCATACAGAAAGATCACCAGTACAAAGATACAACATCATAGCCTAACATTTGTATAAACATATAAACCATAGCATACGGAAATCAACAGAGACTGAAAATACAGAACATATACTGGGCAGAATCGAAAGCATAAAAATGAAGCTCCACTTCCCTTTTACCCGTCCAGTAAGTTGCCTTCTCCTTCCCTTTCTACAGGTTGTCCACTTCTTCTATTCGGCCGAATGGTATAGGCTCAGGAACAGTCTCCCACGCTTGCAAATCGCCGTCCATAGAAAGTGTAAGAACTGGTAAAGAATCCTCCTCACTTGGCTTGGATCATCGACCGAAAGATCTACCAAAAAAGCCAAGGAATCACACCCCAAAATGTGACCTACCGAACCCCAGAGAAACCCAACCCCTTAGCCACTTATTTCAGGCCTAAGAACACACTGGCAATTTCATCAATCAATGGGTTAACCGGTCAATTTTGGGAACCACCAGAAGAAGAAGAAGAAAGGGCTCCAAAGGACCAAGGAGAAAAAACGAGAGAGAGAGAGTGGATGTCGTATTGCAGAAGCCAAAACCCACGTGAGGTAGTACCAAGAGTCAAGCCAAAAATATCTAGCCAAGAATTCATCCTAACCATCTTAAAAGAATTGAACATCATGCATGATACACCTATTATGTTTACCGATAGTCAAAGTGCATTGTCACTTAGTATGATTCTTTTTTATCTCGAGAGATTTAAACATATTGATGTGAGGTATCTTTTTATTAGTGAGAAGCTGTCTTAAGGTGAAGTCGAACTTGTTAAGATTCATACTAATAGGAATTCCTCTGACGTGGGAACAAAGATCCTGCAAGCAGGTAAATTTAAATTATGCTTATCTTTGCTACATATTGATACTGGTTAATTTTTCTTACAGGTAGTGGGCGATGATGATGAACAGTCCTTCCATATGCAATTTTGTAACCGAGAGAGTGAGTTACGAGAACCAAGGTGAAGGATGTGGGCTTATTGGTTCTCCTAACTTTGTTGGGCCGGTTCATTACCTATTCTTAATGTTGCTTAGGTATCACTCACCTACTGGTAACTTAGGTATGACCCGAATTGTGTGCTTGTTGAGAATTATTTGTGGCCCTTGATTTTGATCTACGGTTAGGGATTAATTCATTGATTGATATTTTACTTGGGCCTTAACTATTGAAAACCTTCTTCTTTCCTTCTCCAGGAAGCTTTCCTATTTTTCTNATTGGCTGGTTTCGGTGTAGATTTCCCTTCCTAAATCTGTAGCTAGAATCTGTTGAACCTTGGTAGATCGTTCTTGATCGATGACTAGAATCTGAACCCATGGTTTCTCTGTTGACTGCTCTCTCTGGATGGCGATTTGCGTGGCATGGATGTGGCTGTTCTTGAGCCTGCTTGTCGACTACGAACAAGGAAGAAGCTTTCTAATTTTTCCAGTAAACTGTAGTTCTATGTTTTCTTTAAGATGTCGGTTTATTATGTTTAGTTTGTAAGCTGCTGAAATGTTACTATTGCTGTGACTTATGCTGTTGAACTCTATAAATTCCTAACAAAAACCTTGGAAAGAATGGGAGAAGAGAACATGTGAAGTAGCGAAAACATCGAAAAATCCCAAAATGAGACCTGTGCACATTATTGTTGTCCTCAAACGATATTTATCCCCTTTAGAATTGATTTTGGTGTTTAAAGGGACTCACGATAGATGATTTGTAGGATTGAACAAGCTTTTAAAAAGAAAAATACTTAAACATCTGTGTTTTCTTCCAAAACTTGAAGAATACTTGAAGGGTTTGAATATGTATGTAAGACTTGGAAAAAAAAAACTCTTTCTAACATGAAATGAATTATTATATCTTGTGTTTAGAAAAGGAAAACTATCACCTACTTTTAGTTTCCATCAATACAGTACGAAAAGACTTCAATGATTCATGAAAAATTGGGAGCTTTCCATGAAAAGATACCAAAAAATTCAACTTGCAAAACTAGCCTATCACTTTTTCTCAATAATGGCCATCAAACAGGAGCTCGGTATTGGAACTTTGGCAATGGTGTTAGGAGTTTTAACATGCATAATAGACTTGTATTCAATGTACACCTACAAACCTTTTATAAGATTAAAAATTTAATAAAAAAATATCAAAACATTGAGGATTTGAGTTTATTTATATATCCTTTGTTCGTTTACAAATAGTCAATAGAGTCCCTTGATAGGCAAATTAGGTTATCCTAATCAATCCTTGTATCTCAACTGTTATGTAGACACCTCGAGATCCCAACGTTGCTAATCATCATGTTAAAAATTTATTTTCTACTTTTGCTCTCTTCATTTCTATGCAGTCAAATACTATTAAAAATACCTTGTAAGTCTCGAAAATAATTGAAAAAGGTTGAAGTTTGAGGCTTTATCATAGGCTATAGACGTCCAAACTTCATTAGGCTAAGTAATCCCATATACTTTAACATGTACATAATACATAAATAAAAACTGAAATTCTGAGTAATGCATCTATTTTACTGGCTGGTGTGGTACACGAAAGATCCAAGCATCAAGCAAGTGTATGCATACAACACTAAAAATAGTAAGAGAACTAATGCATGCAAGTCTATATATTTTAGATTTTTGGATGAGATACCAAATGCAAATTAGGTTCTTCAAATTTCAAGAAATGATACTTGATTGGAATATTGTTATAATCTTACAAATACTTTCGATTTTCTTTTCCTGTTGTTATGGTGCTTCAGAAAGCTTGATCTCCGAATTCAGTTTCATAAACTTAACGAGGGATTCTTCAAGACCACTAGTCTTGCCCATTCTTCCCGTGCAATAAGGGTTAATGAGTGTTTTATATAAACAAAATACTGAACTCATGTAATAGACTATGCAAAAACAAATTTCTATTGACATTTCATTTATAGTGTTTAAGGAATTTGTTCAGACTTACTCATTAGATGTAAAATTGATTTAGCTTTTCTTTGACCTCTTTCAGTACAATTTTCAGAAATTTCAACTAAATGTTCATACACACCGTATTGAAGTGCTACCAAAATAATATTTGAATTGTTTGATCCCAGTTCAAGAAGAACAGAAGCTGCGCATTCCTTGTTTTTGGGAGTCCCGTCTCTCATAAAATTAACGAGAGTTTCTATAAATGAAAGTTGTCCAATTTCTTGTTTACCCTTTGAATTTGAGGCGAGGATTAGCAATATAGAGAGAGTCTCATCAACCATGTCCAGCTTTTTGTCCTCGATTACCTTAAGTAGTGGTGAGACAATGCCGGCTTCAATGGCCCTGGTTTTATTTGCATGGTTAAGGCACAAATTGAAGAGAGCAGTTACGGCATCTTTTTTACCTCTGATTGTTCCAGCTTTTAGCAAATTGACCAATGGTGGAATGCCATTTAAATTTCCTATTTTTTCCTTATTCTCGTCGAGCATTGACAAGCTGAACAATGCTGCTGCAGAGTTCTCTTTAGCTCCAATTGATCCATTATGCAAAACTTCAATTATGGCAGGAATGGGTTCTTCTCTAGATATGAGCTTCTTGTTAGACTCGTCGATGGATAAGTTCAAAATGGCTGTCACGGCATGTTCTTGAATTTTAGAATCTGGATAGGATAAAAGATGCACGAGAGGTGGGACTCCTCCACTAGTGGCTATTGATATTCTATTTTCTGGACTTTCTTTTGAAAGCATTCTGATCTTCTTTACTGCCGCTCTTTGCTCGTCTAGCTTACTTGAGGACAAATTTTGAACACTCAATAATATGTTCCCATCATTTGAGGTAGAAGAAATCTCCATTGATTCCCCCATCCCCTGTGAAAGTTGAAAATTGTTTTTCTCACACCATTGCAGAATTAAGTTCTTAAGAGCGAAGTTTGGAGCTACAGACAAGTGAGTCAAAATTTGCCCAGTTTTGGGGCATGTTGTATGACCTGCATCCAACCAATGTTGTATGCTTTGTCTTTCATATGTCTGTAATGGAGAAAAAATTAAAACAAGTCACCATGTATCTCTCCAAACAATAAATTTTAGTCAAATAGGGAAAGGAGAAACCTAGTTAAGGAGGGTGAAATTACCTGTCCTGTTGCAACAATAACAGGATCTTTCATAATCTCTAGTGTGATTGGACAAAGAAATTCGTTAGGGATTGCAATAGAGGCGCATTTCACTAGAGTTTTTGGTACTTGAGAATCATCCAAGAGACCATCTTCTGCAACTCGTGCTATTCGTTTGAATTTGTTTAGAAGATCTATCATTTGTTGTATACTCTCTGCAGTATGACATCCTCGTCTTTCCTTAACTTTCTTAATGGCTAGAGATTCTATCTCAAGTTCCTCAGCAGTGTGTAAACCAAGCTTATTTGCTAGCCTTTCAATAGTGGCGCTGTCTGCATTTCGGTCATCATTTGTGGACAATGCCACCATCAAATCCATGGCGAGTTCCATATCTTGCGTATCAGTTCGCTTTTTGGCTCTTTTCAGTTGCACAGATAACAATTCAATCTGAGATATGTAAACTTATCTCAAATTACAGGAAAAAAGAAAATAAAAAATTGATCAACTTGATAATATTATGCATTTATTCTAGAGTCACATCAGAACACAACACATTTAAAAAAAAAAATAGCAAAGAAGAGATCCAACATTCATAAAAACATTTCAGCTGTAAATCAAAGTGTTAAAAATCCATTACAGCCCCTCATAGTTCTACATACTTTTAGACATACTCTAACATTGAAACATAAATTCTTTGCTAGTTTGGTACCAATGGCTCATTAAGTCTATGTGCTTCGTAGTTTGTCTAATCTTGTATACAATCGATTTCAACTTGAGTTAGAAAAAATAGGGACATCGACTAACGGTCCAGACAATCATATGATGTGTTTAGAGAGGGAAAAAACAAGTGATTTTAAGATGATATGAAGAGTGGGTAATGCATACTTGTTCTTTCTCTTCATCTGAAATTCCAAGCTCATCATACGGCATTCCTTCCACGGCTTGATTTATCATTTCATATACAGAATGAAATCTCACCATCATAGCCTCACTTTCTGTTGCCTGAACAAATTAAAGAATCATAAACAAGAATTCCCAATGTTTTCTCACAAAATTAGAGAAAATTCAAAGCCTCTAACCAGGTAAATTTTACTTCCAGAATGACACGTGTTCAACAATTTCTTGGCAGATCGAAAAGCCTTCTTCAATTTCTTCAAACATTCAATCCCGACATCAGGAATTGGAATTTCGAGGTTCCTGATCTCATCTAAAAATGGCAAAAAAACCTTTAATCTCCTAATAAGATTATTACATTCTTTCCTCTGAGTCCTCCTATACTCTCCAATATCCTTTATAGATTCAATAATCTCGATGATTTCATCCACCAAATCGATTCGTGCTCGTGGGCTTGATGGATCTGACGATGCAATGTTCTCGTCCTCCATAATGCAGAACCACTAGTAGTCTAGTGAGGGCAGTTGCCCCCACTGGATTTCTATCTCAGGCAGCCAATGCTGAAGGCAAGGAGATAAGCACGAACAACCACATCAAAATTCAAGAGACATATTGTCGAGAAAATCACTGTCGTGTAACAACAATTTTGAACAAAAAAAATTTCCAATGAGCTAAACAAAGAGAATGGCGATATGGCTGGACGAAATCTTAGGAGTGGATCGACCCCTTTCCTGCGACTGATAATGGTAACTCAGCAGGATTATATCGATGTTGTGTTGAAATCAAATCATTCACAACAATATAAAGCCAAATAGATTTAAAAGCATGTTTTTACACAAAGAAATCTGATATTGGTGATGAAGAAGATGACTTATACTTGCTGAAATCACGGATACACAAGATAAATTGGTGCCACACATCTCCCTTTTTCCCTCTCCTTCACAGTAAATTGCTTCCTATTTTTAGTGCAATACCAAGGAAAAAACTCAGAGCCGCATGTCCAGTTCTGTTGCTCTATTAAGACTTAATAAATGTCTTTGTTATAGTTGGACATGCCTGCAGGGCTTGTAATCACTTTTGCTAGATGTTATTTATATGGTTCAGCCATGCTAAATTGCCAGATTTTTTTGCACACTTCCTTGACATAGCATTCTATCATTGGATTGTTTAAAAAACAATCAGTTTTTGCACCTAATCATCTGCTGTTAACACTGCATCTATCAAGTAAGTGGACAAAAAATTCTGGCAAAATGGCTTATTCCTATTTGGTTTAATCCATCATTATGTCTACGAGTTAATTTCAACTATGGTCAATGAAGTTCGTGCGAAATTTCAATTTTTTTTATTGAAGTTTTTTTTTATATCAAATTAATTAGTCACTAAAATTGTTAATGATTTCTGATAAGTGTATTTTGTACACTTATTTGGACCATTAAATTAGAATATTTGTTAGTGATTTGGATGAGTTATAGCTTAATTTTGTGTTAATTATGAACCCAATGCAAATTGGTGTATTTGGAAAAAAGGAACGAAAAACATGCTAAAACAAAGGAAATTCAAAGTTTGGGGATCAAAGTGTAAACTTTAAATAGTTGATTAGGAGCACAAAAAGATGATTGAAGATCATATATGATCAATTGGATGCAATTGGAGGTCAAATGAGTGAAATATAGTGGAATTATTTTTACAAATCAATTTCCAACCGAAAAAGTTATGTTCCGAATTTTTAGCCTTAACTTGAGACCCATTTTTCGGATGGCAAACATTCAAATTGGAAAATTTTTACTTTTAGAAGTATTGTATCCCTTTGAATTACCTTTCCAACGCATTTTGAATTAACTCAATCGGATATTTATGGAGAAAGTTATGACCAAAATACAGAAATCAATTCAGAATCAAACCTCAGCGCTCACTATGCTATTTTCCCCAACCCGAGAGCTATTTGATTCTACGGCGCGTGTACAACACTTATACCGGTGCGCGTACACTGACCTTTTTCGCAGACAAATCTTTAGTTTCTTTTTGTGATTCAAATTCTTTTGGAAACCAAATTGGACGGGATTTGATCTATTTTCTGGCTTTTATAAATAGAGAATGAGGGATACACATAAAAAAAAATCTCTTGCCTCTTCATATACCACAGTTTCATCAAATTCATCAAAAACAAAAGGTAAATTGCTACATTTTAAAAGATGAGATTAAGCCATAGCAAGAAATTGAAGGCCAATTACATCAACATTTTGAAAATTTCAACCTTTAGCTTGAAGATCAACATCTTTTGATTTCTTTCATAATCCGGGTGATATTTTTCTATTATTCTTCTTGTAATTTATATATTAATATGTTAGGCTAGATCCGATTTTGTATTGGATGACGATGAACCATATTTTTTTTAATTCAAAACTAGTAGTTTAATTTATTTTTTGCGTTTCTTGATTAATTTTGTATACCTATTGCATTATTTAATTGATTGGCCACCAATTAGATAATTAGTTACTTATTGTAGTGTTGTGAGACTCACAATAAGGTTAGAACGCTGCAAAATTAACATATGTGCAATAGATGTTAAGAATAACATTTATCACATGTGCAATCATATAGGTAATCTAACTTTAATGCATTCTAATCATTTGAATTCGGGTTAGAAATAGATTTGTGTCATGATTAGAATAGATTTAATTTGTTTTGGAAAAGAAAATTATATATCATAGTTTTATCGATTATCAATAATGCATGAATGAAATTAAATTATAAATCAAGAATTGAAATAGATAACAATAGACGGATTTGCGATCCAATACAATCATCCATAAATTGATAAAAATCACATTTTTACTACTTTCTTAAATTAATTAAATATAAAATAAAATCAAACTTTCTTTTGTTTACATAATTCGAATCCTATAAAAATTTAGTAAACTTGAATTGAATTTATTCTTCATGGGACGATACTCTCAACTTATCAATTCTATTACTTGTCAACGATCTCGTACGCTTGCGAGTTTTGCATGAATAAGTTTTTGGCGCTGTTGCTTGTGAATAATTTATTCGATTTGAATTTATTAGTTATTTTAGATTTGAAGTTTTTATTTTTATTTTTTTAAATTTAATTTTAGGCTATTTATTGAACGAACTAAGTATCTTGTTTTACTTTTTTCATGAAATTATAGTTTATGCAAGATTCTAATGAGATCGAGTTTCTTCTAATAGATCCCGAAATCGAAAGAACCTTCAGACAATGAAGAAGAGAATAGAGGGAAGCAAGGGAAATGCCATAAAATCAAAATTCGAATCAGGTTCAGAATCCATTACACCTACCTCAGCCAGTTAAGCCAAACCAACTGAGGGTAGTAGCAAATGATGGCGAAGATTTAGTGAGAGATTATGTAAATCTCATTCTTGCTCCTGTACAACCACCGATTATATATGCACCATTTGGACAAACTAACTTCCACATCGGACCTGATGTCATCAACTTATTTCAGAATCATCACGACATCATGTTCTCTAGATCATCAACTAAGAATCCTAATGAACAAATTCAAGGCTTTTTGATGTTGTGCGATGTGATTAGTTACGAAGGCATGTCTATTGACTTTTTTCGACTGCGCTTATTCCTTTACACTTTAAAGGATGATGTAAGAGACTGGCTAAACTCACTAATCCCTGGGAGCATAGTTTCATGGAATGATATGGTACAAAAATTTACTTTGAAATTTTTCCCACCTTCTCGAGTCTATCAACTCAAAAATGAAGTCCGTACTTTCAAGCAAAGTGACCTCGAGAGCTATCTGAACCTTGGGAAATATTCAAAGAATACTTCAAGAAGTGCCCTAATTTGAACATTCCTAAAAACTCTAAGATCTGTATATTTTATTCAGGCTTGAGACCTGAATTCCGCAACATAGCCGATACTTCAGCAGGAGGGTCAATATTGGATATTTCATTGGACAATGCCTTGGACCTATTTGAGAGAATTGCAGAAAATCAATCCATGTGGCCAATAGATAGGGAAGTATCGAGAAAAATAGCAGGAATACACAACGTCGACATAGCTACATCATTACAACCCAAATGGAAGCATTGATAAGGAGGTTAGATAGCCTTACTCAGAATGTGAACATGGTACACCAACAGAAATCGGTTTGCAAAGGTTGTGGGGTTGATCATACTACATAAAGATGTCATTTAGCCTCTAGGCATGTAATCAAGCCTGAAGAGGTTAGTTATTCGCAGAATTTTCAGAGGCAATTGAACAACCCCTACTCCAACACATATAATTCGGGATGGAAGAATCATCCAAATTTCTCGTGGACTAACAATCAAAGTCAAGGACAATGAGAAAATTTTCAAGCAAGACCACCAGGATTCCAACAACAGTAGTAGCAAAATAGAAAGCTATCGATGGATGAATTATTAACTTAGTTCATTACTAAGACTGAGACTAATTTCCAAACCCAACAGATAATTATTCAGAACCAACATGTTGCAATTAAAAACTTGGAAACTCATATGGGTCAGATGGCAGCTGCATTAGTAGGGAGAACTCAAGGAACCTTACCAAGCAACCCAGAGACAAATCCAAGAGAACGTGTATTAGCAATTGAAACTGTGAATTACACAGTTATTGAGACACCATCATACAAGACTACTACCCCTGTTGAGCTTATGTGTCACCTGTTTCATTTCTTCAAAGGCTTCAAAAACAACCTAAAGAAGAATTAGTCCAGACCATCACAATGAGAATTGGGGTTCAGTTGCCAGAAATTACAGTGAAGAAGAAATGGATCGAGGAGAACCATGTACTTACCATAGGCAATGAACAAGTAGTTCAATTTGAAGAATCAACAAAGATTATACAAGAAGAAAAGTCAGACAGTCAACTAGTTAAGGCAACGGTTCCTGTCAATAAACACACACCTCCAGTCTCATTCCCCCCAAAGGTTGCAGAACAATAAGCTAGACAAACAATTCAAGAAGTTCTTGGATGCCCTCGGACAACTTCACATCAACATTCCCTTCATTGACGCCATTCAACAAATTTCAAATTACACAAAGTTTCTAAAAGAGATGTTGACTAATAAAAGAAAGCTGGAAGTAGATGAAACATGGCTCTGACAGAAGAGTGCAGTGCAATCATAAAGCATATGATCCCTCCTAAATTAAAAGATCTAGAGAGTTTTACTATACCTTACTCTATAGGAAATTCAAATAATTTAAATGCTTTAATTGATTCTGGAGCAAGTATTAATTTGATGCCACTATATCTACCGGAAATTAGGATTGGTTCATTCAAAAGCAACATCAATAATCCTACAACTAGCTAATAGGACACTCAAGCATCCTTATGGAGTTGTAGAAGATATGCTCATCAAAGTTGGAGATCACTTTTTTTTCACCTGATTTCATTATCCTTGATATAGATGCTCAACATATGCCGTTAATTTTGAGGAGACCATTCTTATCTACTGCACCAGTATTAATGTATTTT